ACATTGTCTATTATTGGGAAATTATGTTTTATCAATCGTTTAGATGTCTTTTTAACAAGAATGGTCATAAGAATGCACAGACTTTTAAAATAATTCTATTTTGAGGACATGAGCAATTAATTGAACATTTAGGGAATGGTTAGGTACATTGCTCAAAGTGTCAATGAAATTGACATATATATTGATATTTTATAACAAGAGGCATTTAGAATGAAGAAAAAAAACACTTAATTGAAAGAAATATGTCCAAAAGAATTTTTACATTTTAACTTCTTTGGACTTTAATTTCAGTGAAGCTTCAAATAAAATAATAAAAGTTACAATGTATTGATCAGTTAAACACTCAGAGAAGCAGAAAAGTTGCGTATCCGTTAGCAAAAAATGTTTTCAATAAAAATGTTTACTGACCATTTCTGAGAAAAATAAAATTTATCAAGAAAACTCTTCTTAAAATGATTGGTTATGATTTTTATATCCTTGATTGAAACATCGCATTAGATAGATAATATTTTGGCAACTGATTATAGTATATCATCTCACATGTTTCTGCATTAAATATTTACTTAAAACAGTTTTACTCTTTTTGGTAAAGGAATGAAAGTAGAAGTGAAATGTACTAGCCATATATTTTTTAAATAACGCATGTATCTACCTCGCGTGTGTGCTTGTATATATGTCTATGCTTTAGTGAGTTTATGTATCTCTGTATCTGTGATATTTTAGTTTAATTTATAGTACGTTTATAATCAGTACTGCTGACTGATATCGTATTCCCTAAACATTACCCCAGTCACACTCCTCACCACAATCCTGCAGTTGACGTATTAACGATGCAACTTTCTTTGCTTTTTTAATTCGAGCTAAATTTTCTCTTTTTTTAATTGATACATTCCGCTAAATTGTACAGAATAATTTAACTCAAATGGAATTTGAAAACTATAAGTTGAAATTAAAAAAGTGTTCTTTGCAAAAAGACCATACAAAGCATTGGAGATTGTTTTAAATGATTATTTATAAAATTAAAGCAAGAAATACATTAACTTTTACTTAATTATCCAGATTGACAGGGCTCAGTTCTACGCAGCGAGATAAGTCACTTTCATTTTATTTCATTCATTTTTTTTTACCTACTTTATATTTTGTTTTTCATTCTTCTTCTTTATTATGAACAATATCAACGAATTGTATTAAGGTCAATATTTTGACGCACGGAATTAAAACAATTTTTTTTTTGATCCAGCTGGAGACAAGAATGAAAAAACGCACTACGAAATATTTTTGTTCATTTGAAATAGACATGCATGAATGTTGATTAAATCGGGCTGAGCTCAAGAAGCCCGAACCACGGAGTCGCCACAGACACACAGAGACACACAGACACACACACACACACACACACACACACACACACACACACACACACATATATATATATATATATTTATATATATATACAATGAAATGAGAACGAATCAAAAAATTCGCTTGAGGATGAAATGGAACACTTTAGTCCCATAGATTAAATAAAGAATTTTTCGCTTGAGGATGAAATAGAACTAATGACTTTAATTTAATTACAAAATTAAATTCAGGGGCTTTAGCTTCCATTTTTGAAACATGGTTAGAACTGTGTAGCGGAAAAACATTTTAAATCAATTAATTTATATATATATATATATATATATATATATATATATATATATATATATGTACGTTTTCAACATCAAGTCGAGCCATGATTTCATTGTTGGGTATTTCACTTTTTTTCGGGTTTGGATTGCCTCCAATGTTGACCCAACACTACATTCACTAGGAAGGTAGGGAGTAATGAGTAGGTTAATGCATTTTGTTAGCTGAAACACAGGTGTTGGGGTTTGCGACACGACAGGACAGAGAGGATAGTATGATATTGTGACGGCACTATAAAACAAATAAATTTAACTATCCTCTCCGTCCTGTCGTGTCGCAAAATCCAGCAGACGAACACATTTTATGTTTTCTAGTGTGCACAGACCGGTTAAACTTATTGCTAACTGTTTGCATATATATATATATATATATATATATATATATATATATATATATATATATATATATATATATAAGGCTGTATGTGGATGACTTACTCTCGTTCGCCGATTAAGCACTATGGGGAAAGGGAATTTTTAAAACAATAGCTGCTCCTGCTTCTAACGCATCGCTCTTCATATATGAATTGAGCGCGCTGGCTTCTGATTTGTCGTTTATAAAGGGTGTTCCAATAACTTGGACCGAATTTAAATGTCAATTATTTTTAAGCGTCTAAGGATTTTTATTCTTTTTCTTTCAGATTTGGGCGATATTATTTTTCACGCGTAATTGCCATGACTTAAATAAGAGGATTCAATTGAGAAAAAAAATTCAACAATAACACTAATTTATTTACTGATCCGTCTTGATAAAAACACTTCTATGGAATCCGTCTTAATGAAAAACTATATATATATATATATATATATATATATATATATATATATATATATATATACTAACAAATGTAAGTGAATGCAAGGATAAAAAAGCGTTCTTAATGATGTGTTTCTTTCCGTGTGTAATATCTTCTCACAAATAATGATCTGTCTATATTTCGGAGATGAGGTATTATGTACACTATTTACATTATTAGGACTATATTTATTACAACGTTTCGGCCGTTGTATCCTCCGGCCTTCTTCTGGAGTGAAAATGGAGATCACCGCCTTCTGTTTGATCAGGTTGAAACCATAGACAAAGAACACCGTTGGAAAATTCGTAAACTTAAGGAATCAGCACATATGCCAGGCCACAAAAATCTCCTGAGCCGATCAAGCATAGAAATGAATGCAATATGGGAACCAGTAGTAAGGAGTGTCAGAGAAAAGCGATAATAACCAAAAACAATGCAAACGTGGAATGATAACAGAAAAAATTGCAACATGAGCACTGGTAAAAATAGTTGCTGAAGACATTAGGTTTATAATACGCAGAAATTCATACATTCATACACAGATGTCCTCAAGAACACATGACACAGTGGATAAAGGCGTTAGTTAGAACCAGTGACAGGATCCAAAAAGTGTGAGTTCAATACCCGGTTAAAGCAGTGGAGAAATTGGAGATGGAAATTAACTGGAGATAACTGATAACTGATATCCATTAAACATGGCACGTGGAACTAGAACAGTCTATCCCAGTGAGCGAAATAAAGGGTTCAGTTCGGCATTCCAACCACCTGAAGAAGGCCGGAGCGTACAACGGTCGAAAGTTTGTAATAAATATGGCGACAAAGTTGAGGACAATAGTCCGAATAATGTAAATAATGATCTTATACTGTTATATATAAGATTGAGAAATATACGGTACGAAATTCAGCTTGAAACTCGTTACACTTTATTTGAAATCGTTAAAGGTTCTCAGCATTTAAAATTGAAATTTTGACGCGCGAGGTGTCGAGATTTTCAATGTCACCCGGATCATTCATTTTTTTTATCGCCTTTTTTTTTTTCATTTTTACACTTAATGTTATCCTAGACTGGAACAGTTTAAGATTGTAGTGGTCGGAAGAAGCACTCTTTTGGGGAGTCGGTTCCACAGGGTAAGGTTTAGAGAGAACAAGCTGTTCGAGTAGAACATACTTCTCACTTGTGGAATACGAAGACAATAAGTGAGCTTTCCCTCAGCGCAGCAGTTTTTAGTTTTCACTGCTAGAGTTGATGGAACTATGGAATGTAACTCGTCTGGACATGGAAATGTTGACAAAGTAACGAGAGGCTTGCAAAGTTTTACACGTGGGAAAAGGGTTGTAGTGTGGAAAATATACATTTTTCATTCACGGTTCTTTTTAGACACGGTTGAGCTCTATTCAAGACATGGAAAGTCTAGGCTGCATCAGCCCTGATACTGGAGCAGTATAGGGTAGCTTTAGCGCTGGATCGTATTTAATTCACTTGAATTCTTGGTCGGGAGAGTAAGTACCAATAGGCGCTCTAGGCATGGCTCCTCTTTGAGAGAACGCACATTTATTGGGATAGACGAAACTGTTTCTTTCTTTTTAAATTAATATTTATCTTAAGAAAACAAAGTTTCCATTACCAGCGTTAATGGATTTGCATAATGGAAAGATACACATTTTCGGCTTGCGTACAAATACATTAAGAATAGGAAACGGATAAAATCACAGGAAATAATGAAATTCTTCTACTTGGGAACAATTATTCTCAACAGCGAAATATTCGTATTCTTCTTTATTTGACTGTCAGAAGGAAGATTTAGACTGAATATTATACAAATAGAATCTGGAAATTTTTTTTTTCGATATATATATATATATATATATATATATATACAGAGAGAGAGAGAAATATTTTTAAATCCTTTATGTTTCTACAGAATACAGAAAGCAGTATATATTTCTTCTTTTTTTTTTATTTACGAGCCGAGAAATGGACACATCACTATTGTTTCCAGATTTCCCTAAACTTATGAGCTTAAAATCACATATATACATATATAGAGTAAATTCTCTCTCTCTCTCTCTCTCTCTCTCTCTCTCTCTCTATCTATCTATCTGGGGTTTATGGCTATATTGGTTTATTTCTGTCTCGGTCTCTGTTTCTGTCTCTGTCTCTCTCTCTCTCTCTGGGGTTTATGGCTATATTGGTTTATCTCTGTCTCTCTCTCTCTATCTATCTATCTGGGGCTTATGGCTATATTGGTTTATCTCTGTCTCTGTCTCTCTCTCTCTCTCTCTATCTATCTATCTATCTGGGGTTTATGGCTATATTGGTTTATCTCTGTCTCTCTCTCTCTCTCTATCTATCTATCTATCTATCTGGGGTTTATGGTTATATTGGTTTATCTCTCTCTCTCTCTATCTATCTGGGGTTTATGGCTATATTGGTTTATCTCTGTCTGTCTCTCTCTCTCTCTCTCTCTATCTATCTATCTATCTCTCTATCTATCTGGGGTTTATAGCTATATTGGTTTAAAATACCGGTTCCCGTAGGGTCACCGAAGTTAAGCAACGTCGAGCCTGGTTAGCAGCTAGATGAATGACCACTTGGGAATACCGGTTGCTGTAA